TGGATTACGTGTCCCTTATCGATGGTGCAAGGGAGTGTCGTGGGTTAAATAAAAAATCCATCAAAAGTGGCGGTTAGATTGGGCCTCAAAGGAAGTAGTTGCAGAATGTTGCATGAAGATAGTCCACAGTGCAGTGCTGGGTGCAGATGGGTGATTATGACATCTTCTTTTTGTCTTCTTGCAAAACAATTATGACATAGTTTAAAAACAAACCACTGCCTATGCAATGATGGAATTCTTATCAAAATTGGGCTGAAAGTGACGTACCTCCAACAAAATACTGGGCTAAAATTCCGGTGTGGAACTAACCGCTAATGACAGATCAAGCATTGGAAGCAATATGCCTGATCAGCCAGTAAATATGCACTTCAGCTTGGTAATTCCTAATTCTGTGCTACTAATAAGGTGACGAAAGCTCTGGTTGAGCTAAAGAAAAATTTTAGGAGATTAAGTGACAGATACCTGCACTTTTTAAGCTACCTTCTTGGTATCCATCCGCACCTCCCCTTGTCCTTTTATCCATCGGTCTATTTGTATTAAAATGTTCATTAACTCTTTTAAAATGAATGGGTAAGTTTAATGAGGAGGTCTTTAGTTGTAAAAGTGAAGAAACCCTGTTTCTAGCAGTCTCATAATGATTCGACATTTGAATACCTTCCCATCCTACTTTCGTCTTTTCCTCAATTCTCCGAAATTTGTTGCTCCCTTTTTTTCTGCCACCTTCTCCTGCACCTATCGCATTATCAAGCCTACGGCTTGACATTGCCCATTCAGGCTTTGAAATTGCAGGAGGGATAGAGCTGTAAGCTGTGCAAATCTTCAAATTTTATCTCTCCTCTGAAGTAAATAATCAAGAATGACTACACATATCCTTGAGGTCTGGAGATACATGACTGACCTCTCTGCTTGGTAAACAAGTAGCCGAAAACGGCTGACTGTCAAAATGCGAGTCACTAAAGTTACTGATCCTATACAAGTTGCCCTTGCTCTGACCTTAGTGCACATGTGCTCCCAGCTCCCAGGTAGATATTCGCACTATATAAGGGAGATGCGATTCAAAGCCTTGCCTTGCAGTGCATAGGAGGCAGAAAGTGCATTTAAATAAGAGTGGTTAAATCAGCTCCTCCTCATCATCCTCCTTCTAGTCCATATTAAGCGCCAGTGGTGAAACGATCCTATGAGTGTCCTGCCTCAAACTGTCATTTCGGCAGAAGAATGTCCCACTGCTCAGTGCTCCCTAGCATTTGATACTACGCATGTTCATCCTAGTGAAACAGTACGTTTATCTCATCATTTGCACAAAAGAAGTCTTCTCTGGTGCAATTGCAACCGTACAAGCACTGAGTTGGTTGTGGGTACATCAGTCACTCAGTTAAATGTGCCTCCGCGGAGAGGCCGTTCCTGTCCATGGTCGGAGATTGTGGTATTCTGCTTGAAGTCATGCGTGGATACGAATCCACTTCTAATGGCGCACATCTCTTTAGGACTTGGGCTAGGTTTAAGGAAACCGTTACAATTAACCAGTACTATAATATGGCTTAAAATTTTGTTGATCTAATGCGTTCTGCTTAGGAACACCATTTTTTGAGCCAAAATGAGGTAATTTTGACTCCTTCCATTGCATTTAATGCAATGCAATAATGAAATATGAAATTATGTAATTTCCTCTTTTCTTCTCTTGCAATAAATTTACCCTTGTTCCTCCACCTAAATGCAAATGGCTGCCAAAAGTCTCTTTGCATTGACAGGAGGGTCCGATGAGTCGATCCCTTCTCAATGTTGGTGGAATTCTTGCCCTAATTTGGCTATTGAGATGCGTAATTGCAGCCTTCACAGGTCCCCTCCAGGTACGCGTAAAGCTAAAGAGCGTTCTAAGGGGTCCCAAACATTTCTACGCTCCGAGGCGCGCCCATAGGTTTCATGAAGTCGGAATCATTAGATTAGACGGAATTTAATCAGGTGCATCGAGCTTTGTTACATCTGTCGACAAATTTATTTTCCCAAGTGGATATCAATACCACTCGCTGGCATTTCTAGCTCCGAGGTACTTCGCATTGTCCAGATATAGTCTACCCTCCCTGAGTTGGTCTAGAAATAGTGACTCTATAAGCATTGCTTCCTTCTCGTTCACTTGTGCTGAATGGAGAGCTAGGTCTGGCTGATTTATAACAGTAAAAAGTCAGATGAACAAGATTTGCTTTAAATTAAATTCCCCACCTAGTTTTGTCTTCAGGATGCAACACGAAATCAGTTGGAAAAGAAGCTGGCTTGATAAATTACTAGGCAGGAGGCGAATTGTCTGATACTCTGGGATAAATTTTTCCCCCTTCTTCACGAGACAACTTCCTACTTACACTTTAGGCCTCCTTTTAAGCCGTAATAAGAAAATTCGATTGAGGGGTGGCTGCATTTGCAATCCAAAGCAGAGATGGATGGCTGCAAACCTGGTAGAAAATGCAGCTTGAGGCAAATTTAAATCTTGATGAAAAGTGTGAACCGGATAAAATGAAATGAGCTATTGCTGTGCAGCTCCCCGAGACCTAGTTGAAGGCTGAAGAAGTAGTAATTCTTGGGTAGAATGTGTACTGTCGACCTACAGAAGGGCTGGGTTGCCATGCGGCCCAGTAAGGGAAAGTAGCGGAGCTCGAAGTGGTCTGTTATTAAAACTGAGAGTTAAAACAAGCAATAGGCGTATTATTATCACTAAGAAATATAATTTCAGATCCTCAGATGTGCAAGTACGTTGACCCAAATTCGACAACAGGGAAAATGGATGAGTTAAAAGAACAAAAAATCTGTAAAATATGCAGCCTTATGGCTCATGAATTGCAAAAAGTATCTTAAAAAGTGAACGTCGGCAAACATTATCACTGAAGAGACATATTGAGAAGAAAGTTGAGAAATCGAGGTGTTGAACTGAAGGTGTTCTAAGGGTCACTACCTAACATTCTTAATTGTAACGGCAATCAACCATCAACTCCTGAAATAAAGGAGTGCATCCCAAACACATTCGGTTGAGACAGTGAAAATGGATCTCTTAGTGCCTTCTGATAAACATCTCAATCGTTGATGGCGAAATACCGTAAATGGTCTCCTTAGTCTTGATCTCAGTCCATGGCAAATTGATTGAATTGATCTGATGGAATACTGGGAAGCCCACTTTTGACGAGAACGTACATCACTAATGCTTGAGGTAGTAATAACTCCGTCAATCGTGCAATTGATCCATGCAACCCTCCGCACGAAGCGCTGCTGTCGATGCTGACGTGGATGTGAGACAAATATGCGGAGGGCAGGGCCACGAATAAAGCTTACATATGCCTCTGCCTTTCCTAACATGATCCTTAGCGAAGGGTGGCAGACAATGGCCTGGTGCAATTTTAAAAAATTAAATCTAGTTTAACCAGCCTTGTGTTTTCCCACTCTCCCTGAAATATTAAGTTATAAAAAGTGGGGTTGCAATAACTTTGGTCACGAATTTGACCTCATGAGCTGCGTACAGCTCAGGCTTTGCTATAGATGGAAGCCCAGTGTTGTGAAGACGTCGGACAAGCGACGAGTTTTTCACTGCTGACGAGGGGAGCAATCGTCACTCACAAGAAGTCTTGGTTTCAAAAAGTGTCTTTGAAGGCAAACAGCACAATAAGATGAAAAGTGATGGTACAGATGGTACAGATTTACAGGAATATCTTATATACTACAAAGAACAAATGGTGATCTATTCCTATACCATCCGCCAAATCTCAGACATAATGTGATGTTGACGCCACTTGTCAGATGCAAACACCTCTCGTCGGGAATATGGAGGATATTGTCTGTTTCTCCCTCTTTTGTTCATTTAAAAGGATCAAGAATGACAAGGGCATAAATGCGTGGGCTTAGCATTCCTCCGGGAAGGTTAATTTCCAGAAGGAGGTACCAAGGGAGCTGACGGTGGGTTCATGAGGCTTTATGTTTTCCTTAACATCTCTTACTCCCAGTTCAAGAAAATATACTGTATCTCAAACAATTTTGGATTAAGATCCATCCAGTAAGCCGTAAAGTGTTGTGTATTATGTTGGATTTTATTCGTATTTGGGACAGTAGGAACTCGATGCAAGAGGGGCATTAAGAGCGTATGGAGAAAAGTGAGGAGAATTTTACTGTCACTGCAGCTCACTGGCATCATTTGTTATCCTCCCCTACCCCGATTTGTCTTGGTAGTCTCTCGTACACAATGCAGCCAATTTGTACGAACTTTCGTTTATAAGACATAGTGAAGCAGTTGCAGTTTAATCTTTTCACCTCTCTCTGCACGATTCACATCTACGAGATGCTACGAATTCTTTTCATATTCGATTTCTTTCCGGTCCTTTTCAAACTGGACTAATTTTTCTTCTGCGATGGTGAAAGGTAAGCTTTCAATAACGACGAATATGAACTTGATTTGATCTCAATATTCACTCTTCGGATGCCTCTCTTGGTTCTTCACGAAAAGCATTTTCAAACGACGCTTACTAGAGTTGTATTTTGACGACAAATTTCACTATTTTTGCATCCGCCGCACCATGAAAAACTAAAATGAGGCATTTTTAGTTGGTGAGAGCGATCATGAGTGAATAGTAGTTGCTAGTAATTTCCATCGGTTTCAAGGAATTCGGTGTTTGCATTACCATGCTGGCGAAAGTTTGGGTTGAGGGGTCACTGTGGGTCACAGTGTGCCATAAAGATGAAGGTATTTGATCTTCCAGACACACCTTCGATGTCCGTCCTTGTAGCCGGTGGCCCTTGTGAAGGCTGGGCTGCCTGTCGTCTAAATTTGGGCCCACATTGGATGCTTGTCGTTTGCTTATCATTCCAGCCATACTTCCTAGAGGTTCACTATACTAAAAGGATTCAATAGCATACAAGGCGGAAATCAAAGCCACTTCACCTTCATTTTACCTTTAATCTGCACAAATGACATTGGTCATACATTCATTAGATGATTGTGCACTCGCTTAAGGGTATAATCTCATATTGTTGTTATAGACCCCACTACCATCTTAACTTACCTTAAATACAAATATGAGAAGTGATTATTAACTACGCTGTTTTCTGTCCTTCTTTATGGTAAACTTCTGTGTATAGTCTTTGATTAATCGCAAAAGCATACCTTATACAGGAAAACTAACTTAAAAAATCCAAATTGAATCAAAAGGGGTGAAACCTTCGTTTGAATAGATGATTTTCTAGTGACATAGGTACCACTAGCGCGGCAGTCTTGGACTCAAAAAAGGAAGGAAGTTACTCAGTCGTTTGGCTTACACAAAGGACCAGCAATTTACAAATGAGAGCAGAGAGAGAAGGGACTAGGATGTGGAGAGGTAAGGCTAAATGTGGTACCAGCCCATACCGCTGCATCAATAGTTTGAAATCCCTGATTGTCATGAATTTCTTGACATATTCAAGTGCGTTCCAATCATGCCATATCAAGTTGAATAGCAATTTCATGCCTGTTGCTCGCGTTTGCTAAGATATCCGAACGGAGTCGCTGTGGCTTTCATTGGAGTCGCAATTTTCATTCGTATCCTCGGAACAGTCCACTATCGGTTGTATCTCTCAAGTGAGGCAGGGTTCAAAAATCCAATGGGTATATTCAACGTCGTCTGCCTCGAGTTGACCAGTATAGCTCTCTTATCTAAGCGAAATTATGGGGGTTCCTTGCTTACCAATCATGTTTGTTCCAGCCAGAGTGATTGAGGGGTAAACGATTTCGCCCCTACTATTGTTTTGTGGTCGATTAAAGTCAATGCCTGCCTGCTTGATCGTCACACCGTCAATGTTATCGAGAAGGGTGTCCCTAAAAGCAAACGCTAAATCAGACAAACCACTCCCAAGCCATCCGACAGTTGACAAAGGTGAAAAAAAATGAAAATGAGTGCGTTTGAAGGTGAGTGGGAGCTTACAACAAACGGTTCTTGAAGATGTAGGAAATTTGGTTTCCCGAACCAGTGAGATTACTCTGCGGAGTTGATCCAGCTCCTAATGTTCAAGTTATCACTTTTCCTGTTTTAAGGCATAAAATATGAAATATTGTGCAAGAATGTTCATTCAACAGTGCAATCAACTCGTTTAAATGTAAAGCATAGGGATGTGTTTGCCATTCAATACGTGACATGTTCATTTGTATTCTTGACTATTTTTCTCCGTAGGTTTCTTTTTCTCCCTTTACTTGCCTTCTCTTTTCGTTTCTTTTACTGCTATATTTTTGACAATGCCAATCGCTAATCCTCTTGCTTATTATGCACAGCACAATTTCGCTAGCCTTCGCCATTATTGACTGTCCAAAAGTCAAGACGGACATTGTGGGGGAAATATACCTGCACAAAAATAACCACATAACACTCGTTCGGGCCTACCTGGATTGATGATGTAAGAGTAAGCAGCTCCAACAAGCGCACCCAGAAGGTTGAAGACGAGAATGAAGCCGAGCGCAATCTCACTGACCTTCCCATCATAGGAAGAATGGTCAACTTCAGTATCCGAATGTAGATGGTTCCCAGGTAGTGCTGAAAGAGGAAACGGGAAACACATCAGTAATATCCACCACAGATTTTACGCAAATTAGCAAAGATATTTATGAAGAGGATGAGGTTGGATGGGATGGAACGGGATGGCATTTGATGGGATGAGATGGGAAAGAGTAGTATTACTTGGATCAGCAATGGTTTTGAAGAATAGGTGGGGGAAGGCAGGACTCACAAAGCCACGTTTTGCCAGTTTAACTCAAACCAATTTTTTGAATAGCGAATCCGACACCGAAACCGATGGTAACACCGATGATGGTGGTAATCATGAACCAACTGTTGATGAGGCATCCGACAAAGCCCTTTCCTTTTCTTCTTGTCTGACACCACGGATTCGCCATCATTAGAAACTGGGCCTTCAACAGGCAATTGTGATTTCGCCATTCTTTTGCTTCTTCTTCGCACAACAGTGGTGATAAACTATAAAATTGACTGCATAAATACAGAGTTGGCTTTGTGTGATGTCCTTTGGAGTTTCAACAATCAGCATTAATTAGTTGCCCAATGGTAGAAGGAGCGTAAGTCAGGGGTGTCACACCCAGCGAACACATGGCATCACTACAAAGATGGCCTCTGCCATACAGCCTCACACCGCCCCTTACTCACCTCACCTTCTATTGCTGGTTCGATTTCATTCTTGACTTGCGTGTGATCTGGGCGCCTTTTACTAATGGTGAAAAGGGCGTATGTGCGCGTTAAATATCACAACATGGAACAAGTGTGGAGCCAACGAATTGACAAATTACTACCTATACAAATTGGTTGTGGTAGTTGCAACAGCCTAACGGGCCAGATTTTATGGTCTACCACATGCTGTGGGTGTAGGGGAGGGGTAAAAAACCCGCCACAAAATTCTGTGTGCCTTAACCGAGGCAGCGGACATGCCGCCCCCATTATAGGAGGAGGGAGAGACATCAGGCGTTAACACGTTTTTAGGACATTGGTGCATTAATATTCCCACTTTTAACAATTTTTAAATAAAATTATTGCAAACCTCTTTATAGGTGTTTCACACTTTGCAAGCAATGCAAAGCCCTTATGAATATGTTCTAATAAATAAGTTGCCAGTTTATCAGCATCAATAATACCTTTCCGTTCCACTAAAAATTTCTATCGGTTCTCAAAAACGTATTTGCTTTTAATTTCTTTAGTCATGCTTTGATTAGGCTAATCTAAAAACTCACATTTTATGCCATACTTTAATTCACAATGCAAAAGGCCCTCTTGATGCCAACGCGATTCTCTTATGTGTACGCCTTGTATTGGAGCTTTAAAAACTGAATTATAACTGCATAATTGCTCGTGTGTGCCTTTACATTTTTATCTTCGCACTATCTGGGGGATATTTACCACTGATTAAGTACAAAGGCAACCGTTGTCTCAGATCTATTCATCGAGGTGTGATTATGGAACACTGCGGTGGAGAAATTGCGACAGCCGAACTCGGTTTGCAAGGCGGACAAGCCCCAACCATAGCCACCGAATTGCTTAAATGCCATTCCTTAATGCTAAAGCTTCAAAACATGGGAGCAGCACAGAGCAGAGTAAGGGGCAGTTGGGTTGCCACACGCTCAAGGAACACTTGGATCCTACCAGTTCCAACTTGTAGAAATCGCAAAAGCTTCCATGACTACCCAGCGAACTAGGCAACCACATTCATCTTTGCATCCTTGCCATTGGAAAAAATTGCAGTCCTTATCGGTGGTACAGATCCAAGGGAATAATGGGGACCGGAATGTATACACGTGAGAATTTGCATGCTCAACATCTTTGAACAAGATAGAATGCGCTACAACTAATTGCCAAGACAATAATGAATAAGCGTGACAAATATATTGTTGGTGGTATTTATTATATCAACATGGGGAAACGAAATCGCCATCAAGTACGTCGCAATCTCCAGAAATTGAATTGCGCGTTGGCTCAAACAAGGTAGCTCCGCTTGATTTGACCTATGTCGTATGTCACGCACCCACTGCACAGAGGGTCGCTGTTTACCTCCACAGAAGCCACTCTCTGACCAGTAAGGTAGACATCAGCGGCCCCTGGCTCCTTGACGCACGATGCCACGTTCGGTGCAGATGCGCCAACACATTTGAAAGTAATAGCCAAGTAATTCAAAAAAGTCACCTGATCTATTTACACACAGAGCCACGACACATCACGGCAATAATTTAGCCCACAAAAGGTGTTGGCTTGGTGGCAAGATCTACAAAACACCTGCAGCGATTGACTAGTATCACCGACAAGCAACGTATGGAATGAAGTTGTAACGGTAAATGCCCCAATTTGACAGAAAAATGAAGCATTTGAACGTTGGGCAACTTAAAAGAAAGAGCACGTGTAGAAAACCACTGCACTACAAGCTACCAGTAAGTCCTGATGCCTCATCAACTGCTCAAAGTTGTAGTAAAACCCATCCCTATCAAGGGATTTCACTGCTTCTTAACGTATACAGATCACATTCTCCAATTACAAAGGGATTATTGAGCTACGGAGGAAGGGGACTGCATAAAACCATAAGTGCTTTGAATCTGAAAATCTTACAAACAGTTTAGCACTAGTTAATAACAGTTTAATGCCCTACTTAAGTACCACGGTTTTGAGGTTTAGACTACACGCTGCTTCTGAAGTGGGCACTAGCTTATTAGTAGTTCAGCCAAGGTAGAGGTATTCACCCCAACTGGAAGGATAAAATCACTTAAAAAAGAAACCCGTGCATTTGCACGGTTTACGCGTTTAAGCACAACTTTGAGGCAGTCATCAAGGTGGAGTCAATTTCCTGCGGTTGAAGACCACATTGGATGATGGAAAATTCGATAACACAAACAGAACGCCACGCCCAAGAACATGCCCTCAAAACTGTTTTAACAAAGCTTTAGAAGGCAAAATTCCAAATTCAACGGGCATTGTAGAGTCAATAAAAACTAATTTCGCCTTGAATATCTGACCTGATGAAGGGCCGTAGGAGGGCGGGAAATGGCTTCAAGTAGAAAATGATGAAGACGAGATTCATAAGACGACACAAAACAACCCCTTGTGAAAAATCAAAGCCCACCCGAAACAATCCTCTAATTACGCAGTGGGAGTCATGTTAGGGAAACCCAAAGAACAGTAACAAAAAGGCCGAGGTTTCGAATCAGGCTAGCGAAAAAAAGGTCAGAAACAGCTGCGAAGCCGAAGATTCAATTATTGCAAGACTGGACTCAACACTTCCACCTACATGAATTCAAGACGATCTAAATTCGCATATTCGACGAATCACCAGTGATAATGAAGTTAAAAAAAATGACTCAGTAAACAGGACCTGGATTCTAGGGCATAACTAACAAGAGTCGAGAAGCAGTATCGTGAGGATACAATTCCTCTTCATCACAGATCTGGAAGCTACGAACGAGCAAGGAAGAGAGGACTGCTTTGGGGAACAGAATGTGCCTACCCTAGGGGAGATCAAGCTGAACTCAGCTACGATAACATTGGGGTTGGAGGTCGCCAAGTAAAGTAAAAAGGGCAGCGTCTTCCCATGCATTCATGCTTATCTGCATGGTACTCTCGAAAAGCACATGACTTCTAGCGAAGATATCGTGCAGTGTGGACTGCCCATCCCAACACAAAGCGGGGAATTCGCAATAGAAGAGGCCCTTAAAATCAACTTCTAGTGTATTGCACACATTCTTGACACCTTCAGACAAATCGAAGCGGTGGGGCACAGTAGACCATTACCACGTTTCTCGCTGTGAATAAAGACCCCACTTCAATATTGCTGGCAGCGATAGTAGGCTTCATTCTATCCTGCCCTACCACAACCGCAGCTCCCCACCTATCCGACTCAATCCCGCCTAATTTTCTCGTTCTTACCACTCAAGCACCTAACTCTCCCCCACTCACGTCAGTGACTTAGCTTCTACATTTTTATCATTTCAGATCCTAATTCTCAAATCTGCTCCGGTTTCTCCTACCACTTTGTACTTCCCACCACTCCAGAACTTAATTCACCACCTGTCTACCTTGGGTACAGCCGGCTTTCCAGTCGCCATCACTCCCGGCCATACTTATTCAACTATCCACAAAAGTTCCTTACCAAGTATCTGGTCACCGCCGCTGCAGAACCTGATTCTCCACCCAAATATTTCTCTAAAACATTCATTCCCGACCCAACCTGACTCTCCACATACCTACCCAATTTCGTTCTGGTTACCTAGTTCGCATCGCTGCAGAAACCTACTTCCAATCTGACTCAGCCACTCTAAATGTCTGGACTCCACTCCGGAACCAAACCCTCCACGTATCTACCCCGGCTCCTTCTAGTCAGTCAGTTCTCAACACTTGCAAGCCCGATTATCAACATATGAGCTTTCGTTCCGAATTTCAAATTCCTCAAACCTTTTTACCTCCCTGCCTACTTCGATTCCGGCCCATTTTAAAGCTCCTATCAAACATTAACCTCCCAAAAACTACATTACCCACCTCTACCTATCCGCCTCAGCCCTTTCTTACTTCTTACCCTACATCACTCCAGGTCCTGACTCCCCCATATCTACATCCATCTGCACAAACTCCTCTGCAAACAGCTAGCTCCCACCACCCCCAATCGTACTTTCTAATTTGCCTCTACTTCCGGTAATCTAGATCCCGCCATTTCATATCCTACTTTTCTATCGTCAAGAGCCCTTCCCCAATTAACTTTCTCCTGACACTGCAGGACCTGGTTTACAATTATCCAGTTCCCATCACTCTAGAACCCAATTCTCCACATATCCGCCTAAATTCTAAATCAGCTGCTCCTAGTCTTCCATTCGTTGTCACTCCAGAACCTAAATCTCTGCCCATCTGTTCCTTCAAGTTTCCCACTTCTCACTACCCAAGAATTTAATTTCTTTACCTATTTGCCTCAATGCCTTCCAGATTCTAGTTTCCGTTACTGTAGAACCCGCATTTCCACCTACCTCAGTTCCTTCTTGTTATCCAGGTTCCACCACTGACAAACCTATTTATTTACCTTTCTGCACCAGTCCTTTCAAGATTTCGAGTTTCAATCACCTTATAACCTATTTACTCATCTATCTACCCCAATTGCTCTACAAATTTCCATTCCACACCAGAATCGGAACTTATCCCAACCTACCTTAATTCTTTCTACTTTATAGCTCGATATAGAACCTTCATCTCTACATATCCACCTCAGTTACTTCTAGTTATCCAGTTCCCATCACCCTAGAGCCTACTTCTCCGAATACCCACTTCATTTCCTCTCCAAATAACTATTTACCATTGACATACCCTAAATCTCTCATCATCTGTCCCGTTTTCTTCCAGTTTTCCAATTCGCAGTACCCCAAAACCTAATAATCCAACTATGTACTTCAGTTTCAAATCACGTTTTCAACTACTATCGCCTTAGAACTCAATTCTTTACACAAGAGGCTCAATTCCTTTCCATATACCCAGCTCCAGCCTCAAATATTGTAGTTTTCTACACATCAGCCTCAGTTCCTTTACAGCTATCTAATTCCCATCACTTCGCGAATTGGGCGTACGGAACCTTAGTTTACTAACTCACTTCCTCTCGAGCCTCCATTTTTATCTAACCTTTGTCGTTAGGCCTCCTCACTCCACCATCTAGTATTTACCTGCTCACACGTGTCGGACGGGCGGAAGATGGAGTTAGAAAATAAACAGGAGACGAATAAATGGCTAGAGGCAAACAGATGTACAGACACAAATGAATATTTAGGGAAGTAACTAAGCAACAAGTGAGTTGAATGATTTAACACATAAATAGACCCGTAGAAAAGTAGCACTTACCATTTGCCCGATTCCGAAGCTTTGCAGGAGACGTCATCAAAGCAAAATATTCCTACTGGCTGTGAGCTTTGCAGATGACTGGCTGCAAGGCGGAAAAAGGTGTGTCTCGTCCCGAGGGAGATTCTAGAAGACTCTCCTCACTTCCTGTGGCTACCTCGCAATCGCCCATTACCGCCTGACATGAAGAATGAAGGAGTGACTACCGCACCACAAATGCATCGTATGCATCGATATAGCCGTCACGAGGATCCATAATAAGATCAGTCGATATGAGGACCAAGGGGTTGGGGTGTGGGTTAGGGAAGGAGGAAATAAACTGAACATCTGTGCCTAAACCTGAAGCGCAGGCTTGGCGGCGGCACTGCCCCTAACGTGAAGGATGGGTTAAAACAGACTACCTACGGCCAAAAGGGACCTGAGCACATTATTCCGATGGCATAGCTACAATCACCATACTTTCGCCTCAAGAACAGCAGACCAGCTTTCATATGTTGTAAAACTGTGGAGCAGTCATCTACTCCTCCGTCAGTTTTCAAAATGCGTTTCAAGAATGAATCGCAGAAGAACTTTCAATGGATAGTAATGCTACCACTTCAATTAAAGTCTCCACAATCCCCCTCCATTTGTACTTGAATTGTAGCCTTCAAGCGTGAAATACCGAAGACGAGTTTCATAAGGTAACGCAAAATAAACCCTTGTAAAGAATAAAACTCATCCAAACCAATTCTCTGATGATGCAGGGGGCGGCATGTGGAGGGAATTCGAAGCACAACTACTGAAAGACCGAGGTCTCGAATTAGGCTAGCGAAAAAAACATCCAGTCAAACAGATGAGATGCCGACGATTCAAATATTGCGGGGTTGGACCCAACACTTCCCATTAAATGAATTCAAGGCGACCTATTTGTGCATATTCGATGAGTCACCAGTGGTAATGAAGTCAAGTGAACGAATCATTCAGAGAAGAGGACCAGAGTTCTGGTGAAACCCTACCAAAAAAAGCGAAAGACGACACTTAACATGGCAGCTGTTTAATGCATTAGCAATAAAGACCCATCTGGCAGGGCATTCGATCACGACACTCCAGCCATTGCATTTACAATGATGACACCAACTGAGGTTATTTGTTTGGATCTTCTCGATTCCTACTCAAAAGCCAGAAAACACATTTATCAATTTTGCTATCTGAACCTAACAATCTATGCAATCCATGGATTGATTCGACCTCAATTATCACAAACTGCTAAGGAACACGTCACGTCTATATGATAGGACAGTCAAGAAGAAAAGACGAAGGGCGTAAAAGCAGTTTCATAGTGGAACAACTTTGCTGGAAACAAGGGCCATGACCGTAAAAATAATAACCACTCACCTGGAAGGAACGAAGTTCTAGTTCCAAAAAGCAGGCAACATTTAGTAAATGATCACCAGAAAAACGACGCAGACACCACTTCCTGCTGATAAGGCATTCGTCCTGGAGTAGTTCAAAACCATCTGGTAGACTAGTCACAAAATTTTTGGCTTCGGCAAGTTCAATCACTTCCTGAGAATCAGAGCATATTGCCACAATTCACTTTCCCGAAAATAAAATGAATGAACTAGGCCTTCGCAATGCATGACTGCACCATAACAGCATCATTAAAAGCACACAAAAATATGTATGAAACAGGATAAAATCCTAACCCAAGCTACACCTTTAAAGCCTTTTTACGTTTGGACCTTATAACTGTTGAACGCCCGATTTATCCGGCACACGCACAAAATCTACATTAACCTGTCGAAGCATACGCAGATGTATAGACAATCCATCTTTACCATCTGGAGCGGTGAAAAGTACTCGTTTTTCAAAACTTGTCCTTCACTTGATGCTTATATCATCAAATGCATACCGGAGCGATTCAGTACTTAACGAGGGATTGCGACATCCGCCATGTCAATTATGGGGTGCGCGGTGACCTTAGAAAGCATCATCACTTTAGTGTTCAATGATGATATCAGATAAAGGAAAGTAATTGCCAGGTAGTTGGAACAGTGGTAGCAACATATAAAACCTTGAAGGTATTTTAGTTCTTGTATTTCACACTTTTGTAATGTCTTTTTTATGCAAATTTTTGTCAATCACCTACATTTATGTTATTAGGTCACTACACTATTGCTAATATTTTTGTTTGTCCGCATTCTTGGTTAACGGTTTGTTGTTTTTGTATATACATAGATCATGCCTAAGTGGATATGCATTTAAGTGCACCTGTGTGCAGCGCTAGTAAACAGGAACAATACTACTCAAAAGAAGCAACAGCGGTAAACCTGGAGACTACTTTCTGCCTCCGTCTCTCAGCAGCTTGTCAGTGTGCAGTCTGCACGATTAATAGGCTAACGAAGACTGGGATAGAGAAGTACAATGTAGTTTGCCGTGCACTGTTCTTGTCCCCTTTGCTGATCTGTTCTGCCCTGTGCTGTGCCATTTCGGGCTGTGAGGGAAGGCGGTGATGTATACGATGTTACGTGGTGAAATGTTTCTCTAAAGAAACGTCTCCCTCCTCGCCCTTTCCTTTCACGTATTTGTTCTTGCACACACGTTGCATGCAACCAGGATGCGATACCTCATTCATCCTCCTTGTTGTGTTTTGGCTGTCACAAAAAGTAAGATAATGTGATACGATGCCCACCCGAGGACAAAGTTGAACGAAGTCAAAGCACCCGTCCCAGATGGAAAAATAAGGTAAGTTCATTGATCATAAATTATGTACTACTCCAGAAATTAGACTTCACGGAGCTCAGACAGCCCAATAGCAACAGCCTCACGTACCTTGGCAACCTACTTCCTTGGGTAACTCTCGCTTGGTCCCCAACCACCACACAACCGCTACTCGACAGCCTCCATCACAGCCCGTCTCCTCACATCGCTCCTCACAGAAATTGTCAACATTTTTGTTTCAACTAAAAACTAATTTTAAAAACCCCTTATAATTCTGGACGTGAGTCTTATTTGTTTCTATGCCAAAGGGAAAAATTTCTAGGCAGAATCAAGCCTGTAACGGAGGCTTTCACGGAGGTTCGCATTACCTCATGCCAATGGACAAGGTCCTTCAGAAAAACCGTGAGCTCCGTATTTTCTCACAGCTAAGAAAGAGGTCATTAAAAGTCTGCACTTGTGTGAATGTTTCCTGTCATCCGTGATTTAGCGCTTTTGTCAAGTGGCAGATTGTCATGCCACAGTCATGAGGATAATTCGAAGTCCATGTAATGTATTTCAGCCACGCAAAAATAATTAAGGCTGTCGTGACTGCACAACCAGACCTTGTTGGCGTAACCCTTTAATCGAGACGACGGTAGCCATTCTTGTCACCTTGACGATCGTAGATGTCGAGAGGATTGAGAAAGGGAAGACGAGGAAGAAGTTCATCTAAGGCGTCATCATTGAAGAAGGACGGAGCGGCTTCCAAAATGGCTGCCTTAACTCCGGCACTGACACTACTACTACTACCACCACCACCTCCAGGTTTCATTTATACGTAACTGTGCGAAACCACCGAGGATGAGGTGGAGACTGCCTGACAACGCTTCCTGGGGGTGCAAAACTGCTGATCTCACTCAACTCACTGTCGTGCCTTTTAGCTATGAGGCCTAATCGAGTGCCCTCTCCTTCCTTTAGCTTGTATACGAACGCGTTTTTATGGTACGTGTACGTTCTGCCAGTAGTTAGGGGTTCTTTGCATACTCCTAGTCGTCTTCGCCCACTTTTTGTTATTGATGGAAAGAACTTTCTAGTAAGTGTCTGTTCTTCCTAGTCGATGGCGAATTGAACTAAGGTAGTACAGCATTCTCTCAAGTCGGTGTCTAGGGTTATCCCGGCCTCGACGGCGTCTGGAAGTAGGTTCTACGGTAGGGCACGTAGAAACTGAGGTGTCAAATCTCGGGTTTTAAAGCCACCTTTCGACGTCTGTGTAGGCCCCTAAAGGTGGTAGGTCCTGGAGTGCTGCAACAAGTGTGACTTGTTCTGCGTTTATCATTTCCAACTCTAATTAGAGATAATCTGTCCTGATAATATTATAGACGTTCTATCTCAATATTCGTGTTTGCTGACCGCTTCTCGCCTTAATGGCGCATTCAAGAAAATCTGATTTAAGAAAAATGGACAAATACGTGATCTGTTTTTAAAGGTTTTGTGCATCTTAATAATCGCACAGTAAGTGCTACTAGTACGGGGGCGGTGGTCACTAATTACTTGGGTAACTAGTACTCCCTTATAAAATCCGGGAAATGTGCTGACTCCAATTGGCTTTTGACACGGTATCTTTTCCCTCCAATTTTGCAGACAGTACAACGGGATACAGTGCATAAGAGTTCCACGCGGTCTACGTGAAGGCTGGGTGTGAGGCAACTGAAATATTTCTATCTCACCGGCTACAAGTAGCTGCTTAGTTGTCGGAGATGGTGAAAGGCCCTGACTTTCGTTGTATGCAGATTTTGTGAGAACAGAGGTGCGCTCTTCCCGAGCACGAGCTCGAGTACTGTTGCATTGCACGTAAGTTTTCTCTCGTCAGTATGACGGCTCCGTCTACGAAGCCTGTTGATCTTTCCTGGTGTCATCCACGGCAGCAGATCCCAGTCTGATTATGTGGACCTGATGCAGATGCGGAGAAGGGGGTGATTTCGATAAGACAGTCATAGTAAACATCCAAATGCTTATTAACTTCTTGTGCTTTTCTGGACCCATCTTTAAGGCTCATATCATAGTTGCTCTTCTTGACATCCAGGTCAGTCTTCCTACAGCTAATTTGAACAGCGTGTGAAGGACGTGTGTATATTCAGTGGTTGACGGATACGATAGCACCATAACGCAGTACTAGTGTGCCAAAGGTAGGTCCCAATTGTCATCCGCTCCAATTTTACGAGCTCCACCTTTTGACTGATCACGCATTTGTAGCATTAAGATGTGTCTTCTTCGTGTAGAAGTTTGTGAACAGGAGCACACTACGGGACAGGCAGATTAGTCGTGCTACTCTGCCTATATTCTGAACGCTCGTAATACAGTTAGGATATTTGGGCTAAAAGCTTGCTTTTTATCTTTCTGGGCTTTGACCACTTGTGGGCACTCTGATATTGACATGCTATTCCTACCACTGGCACCTGGCGAAATGCGGCGCTAAGTGCCAGGCACTAGGCTTCGTCCGAATTTCCTCAACAATGCAGTTTCTCAGGCCTGCGCTTTGTCGATGTAAACGTGCTAAGATGCAGCCAATGAAACTCATATTTCGGTGTGGTTTGACAAGTACACTCATCAGCCTGGACTTGATTGTGTTTTGTTGCGTGTAAGAGAGTAACTCCCCTTGATAGCTTTCGCGACTTCGATAAAATCTTCAAAAACAAATGCTCACGATCGACCTTCTTGATCTAAAATGATTTAGACCTAAGTAACGTACCTGTTACACCATCCACATTTCAAGGCAGGGCGATTTACTTCAGGCGATTCGGATTTCCTTTTCACCTTGTGTCATTCCGAGTAATGTGAATGACAATAACGATGAAGTTTGGATGCATAATGGAC